TTCCTGTTCGTGACTAGATTTGCTCCAATTGGTTTCACTTATTCTGAGCACCGTCAAGGTGTTTCTCCTTATCTCAGTAGTTACTTGATTAGTCCTCTCTGTATCCCACATTGTCCAGACATTCCATGTAATTATATTGAATGTTGCTCTGGTTGTTACAGTGGACATCGGTATTGTGACTACCGATGAACCTCGGTTTTCATGCTGAGGCGTCCCAATTCTTCCTTCAGCTTTTAGCGCAGAGTTTAAGTGGTTAACTTTGTTTAATCTGATTAGCGTTTTTAACAAGACTTTTCTCTACCGTATGGAATTGTCGACCCCATGCTCAACACTCCTTCTTTACCCGGCCTTGGGAGCGTAAGTAATTGTAGGAGAGCTAAAGGTATAATTGCATGACGTTCAGCAGATTATATTTACTTCGAATTCAACTAAAGAAATCATTTGGGATAACACGGTAAATATCTGCTTAAATCTGATCACTGTGTGGGTAGACACATACAAAGTCACATCTGACAATAACATGTTCATCATAAATTCCTGAAATTTTAAATAACGACCGTCTTCTTGTTGCAGATGTTGAATTGAAGGTGTTAAATCTCATACATCCGAGCGGGAAGATATCTGTTTATTATGAGAACGTAAGTCGCACAATTAAATGTCACAGTTGTTTTGTTTCAAATCCTTCAGATTGTTCCACTATTTAATGCAATTCAATACAGTCGAATGCATCGAGGTACATTGAAGACGACAGAAAGAGATCAACATTTGTTCATGTGCATACAGACTATTTGATGCCATTAACAATCCTTTTGTGACACACTTTATTCTAGCACTTTTATAAAAGAGTGAATGGTAAGGAGTCAACTGAAGAAATTCTGGTGTCTTCGCGCCGACTAAGTACAAACAGTGTACGTCAGCGTACTACTGTTATGAACAAGAACATGAGTGAGAGCAATCGAACATATTTGATAGGAAATTACAGAACTTGTTAATAAAATCTAACAATCATATAGTAAATGCTTAATTTGCAAAATGTCCACCAATTGTCTTAAAATTACTCAAACTTCATTGTTCTTGCATTTTCATACAAATTGCATTCTGTTTTCAATCTTTACTGCTCGATCCTCTTGTTTCTCTGCTACCAGACATTCTGTTCCTGCCTAAAGTCGTATACTTCTTATATGGATATAAGTAGCCCACACCACACTACAAAGGAACAATTATATATTGTCAAGCTTCGTTACGTCTTCTGAAGATCAGATGTTTGAAGAGTTCACTCTTGAATGTGTTTAACTTTTCTAATGTCAGACTATTAATTCACCCATTCGGAATACAGGCAGCCAGGATGGGCTTTTAAGATGAAAGGTGTCATGTGTGTTGAACTGAATCAGTTTTTATTGTTTCGAGGTAATCAGAACACATTATGGAAAGCATTCTCTTGGGAAACAAACACTAATGGATGGAAGTGAGCACATCAACACAACCACACCACATGACTACACATTCACGTGCAGCAACATTTCAGTTATTCACAAGCACATTTCTATCAACCGACGTGGATATTCATCTCACAGTATATCACCTCATTCCATGATAGATAGATAGATCGTTCATCTAACTTCTCTGAAGTTGACAACTTAGGTGAGTCAGAATATGTTTGTAGACTAGATGGAACATAGTTCTAAGGAAACTGAGACGATCAGCATGCTTACTGTGAGTATGATAATTTGTCTTTGTATAAGATAATGTGAATGACGACACATTACTTCAATGGTTGGTTGATTTTGTGATAGGTGTTAGTGTGTTGACAGATCTTGACTCAGACATCCATTACATCTTTTCAGGTTCCTGAGGAAATCGGGGAAAATGAATTGGAATCGCCGTTAACGGTCAATTCCTGTGTCAAGTAGGAGGTAACAAATGTCATTTATATTCTGATTTACACTGAAATACATGAACAACCATCTGTTAGACTAATGTCGCTTTCTTTTTGTAACTTATTTTCTGTATATCAACACATGTCATGTCACATGAGATAAAGAGTCATTGGATATTTGGAGGAATATTTCGCATATGTTTAACGATTGACTGATCCAGACAGGGATATATGAACGACCAAATTAGGTAGATGATACAGCCATTATTTTATTCACTCACTCATTCACTGTTCAATTCGTCAAACCTGTAGTCCTTATTCTTATACTACTCAATACAAAAGGAAGCATATTTTGTCAAACAGGACTCATAGTTGTTTTACACAATGCTGAAACCACACGCTACGCTGAAACGGTCGTATGTTGTTGAAAGATGAAGCTGAGTTCCAAGGCAAGCGTTTAGTGTAAGTGATTAGGTTGGATGCAGTCTTTAATGATTGACTATGAGAAAGTGCATTAAACATTTGGTCAAGAGGTACCTGATGATCTGTTGCAATGTGTTGCTGAGTCGTTTCACAGTAAACCTCAATGTTGATAATTTGTGAAATTATTTATGACCAGTAAAACATATTTTTTAAAGACGTTGCACTGACACGCTTATAACACAAATCAGAAACTTAACGACATCATTTTTCATTTACTGGTTAGACGATGATCACTTTCGAAACCAAAAGTGATTTAAAGCATATTTCGTGAGGATGCTGTTTGACCATCATTGTATTCATGATAAGATATTAAACTGTTTCTTATTTTGATTGCTCCTTATACGAGCAAACACGTTGTTATACATAAAATGGAAATCAATATTTTAAGTGTCTTTTTCTGTAAACCTTATTTGAACAAGCACACATATCCGCTGATATTACTGTTCCTCAAAATTGGATCGAAACTAAAACTTTGGTCGAGTATGAAGTTGCCGGGGGTATGTTCAATTATTTATAAAATTGAAGAGTTCATGTACAATTTCAGTCAGTTATTAAATGATATTTAACCATCAATCTCAACTCTCGTCACATCAAACGTCTATTCACTGTCGAATATTTAAAATGATTAGAAACACATTTTGAACCACGATAAAAGTCATCACTTTGATGAAATTTACTTAGACAAAATACCATACAGCGAAAGTTGGTATGATATAAGCCAGTTAGGTGATTTTGCATTGACTTGACAGTGTCATTTTTTTTCATTTGGAACTTATGATAGTGAATTTCCACGAGGTGTCGGAATCGCGGAAACGCTATGGAATTTTAAATATGTTGAATGCAATAGCATAATTTCCAAAATCTTTACTTTATCCTACTCGACCGGTAAATTAAAGGTATATACAAGTTACTTGTCAGATTTTAATTTATCACTGTCAGGAGATATTAATACAGTATCAAATATACTAACGATTTTCATGGAATGGATACGTTTTCTTTTTCGTGAGTACTTACAGTGAATAACCACAAACACTGTCCAGTTCATCATGTGTTAGACTGTTGAAATAACATTTCGACAACTGAGAGAATCATTCCATAATCTATTGTTTAGATCGACGTCAATATTCGTTGAATAAAGTATTATCTATTATGGATGAATTTTTCATGATCTAACTAGACTGACGTGCTATCTGAAAGCACACAGGATATATAGTATGGCCATACAGTTTGAAACTTTCCACCACAGTAGATTGACTGAAGTTTGTTCAAGAAAAACGTCAACGATGAATTGATAAACAATGTTACTTTCCTCTTTTTTGTTCGATTGAATTCACATTATTGAAAATGTATTTTCTGTCTTTGAACAACTGACTTTCTTGTACCGATTTCCAAGTAGTCAGTGTGAGTGAGTTTTCAACTTAATTCGCCACTGCTCATATGTAGACGTGGTATACAACCCATCTTTCAGTCATAAAACTGACATCATGGAATGAAATTCCACAAACATCAAGTGCTATACGCATTGCTGAACGCTTGACAGCACAGTATGTACATTCCTGAGAGTTCACAGTCAATGAAATCCACGAAATTTGCTCGTCAAAACTCATCGTTCATTATTGAACGTAGTTTTGTTCAACATCAACATGATGTCGTGAAATGTGAATGACATTGAAAGTGCACTGAATTTCGCATTGCGCAATATGATGACAAACTCACACTGAATGAAATAGTCACTCAACTGCGAAATTACCATTATATCATTGAGTTATAGTTACATGTTTTGTAGTTCACTGATGTTTTGCTTGATAAATTGAAATGCAGTCAACTTATTGTTTTCACCAAAGATTGTCCAGAACACAAGTCGATTAAATCATGTAGAGGCGCAACAACACTGAACAAAACGTGTATGTGGTGTGAACATGCCAATATGTGCATTACCAGTAATGATAAGGATACTCACAAAGTCAATGGTTGCCGTAATAAAGTAAGTAATCGGTAGACTTCACAGGTTGTATTCAGTATCCGCATATTTGTAAATCTATTTACTCGGAAGAACATTTCACTGCATTGTTTAACACTGATGCCTGGAAACATATCAATTTTTCAGCTCATAGAATGTGAACAGATTTCCGATGTCCAATATGAAACCATAAATTTACGGAAACCATTGAAACATACCGATGAAAACAGTTTGAATGATAAAGCGTAATCTGTTGAAAATTGTGTAGCATGATTGAGTGATTAGTTCAAGTTCCCAAAACTCTCATAGTTCAAATTCAGAATAAGTATTTCTGATTCCTTGTTGAGAAATGTGTATCCTGTATGAACTGCATCAATAAAACCGACAGTTATACGTTTGTTGATTGATATTTAGATTGTGATAAGATATGACATCCAGGAAACAAATTTCATCACACAAATATTAGTCGTTTGTTGATTGTAGGATAATGTGTACTTATCACATTGACTGTCAAATCGGTAGCAGATATCTTAAATCATTACTCATTGATCACACAGTACAGAAGTAAATTATGTAACTATTAGTTGAATTCACTTGTGTCAACAATACTGAAAATACTGTGTATTGGATGATGAAATATTTTATATTTGGTTATATTGCCACTATTTCATTCTTCTGAAGAGCTCGATTATCGGCGTTTCTGGAGAACCAGCACTTATCGAAGAAAAAGAAGAAACAACTCCAACAGTAAATGAAGCTGACTTAAGAAATGAATTGAGGCAAACTACTAATAACACTGAAACTCATTTGGTAAATGTTCGATATTGAGTAATTATTGTACTGTTTTGCTTTTTCAGAATGTGACTACAGAAACGAATGAAAATGAAGAGCAAAAGAAGTCTCGCAATTACTCGTATATTATCGTACCGGTAGTTGTCACATTCATTGTCGTATGCATTGGATGTGTCATAGGGTTATGGTTTTACAGAAAGAAGAGAAGTATGCCATGATTCGCACAAACGCCTTCTTATTTGTTGTTTTCATCATGCTGACTCTGTTATTTTCCTTTTTCATTTGATTAAAACACTTTCGATTATGTTAATCATTTCAATAAATTGCTGATTGTTTCATGGAAATACACACAACATTCATGATTGTTTTTAGAATATAAAATATGGTTTTCTGTATTGACGTGATTGTTTTCATTCGGTGCAAACTGATTAGTTTTACAAGAGTTTACAGCATTCCATTTGTGAATTAACAGTATCGTGTATACGTGATTATGTGACAATTGTAATCAACAATGAATCCGTTGTGAATGTCCAGTTTGATGAAGTCTCACCACTGAAAAATATCATTTGAAACTGTCGATGTTCGTTGTTTGAAACTGAAATGTCAGAATACCGCATTAACATTTAACGAGGCACCTCATTCCTCCGTTATTCGATTATTCAGTGTTTAGTAAAAGCTTGATGACAGACTATTGTTAATTAGGTGTTATGAATGCTGATTATGAAATAATTCTATAGGGTTCAGCTGATACTCAAGTAATAATGAGGAAAGATATAGGTTCAATAAATTAGTAACAGTCCTGTCGTAGCGTTGCTAAATAAGATGGAAGATTTAAAAAAGGCACACTGTAATGTAAATAATCGATCCTAATCTCATGGAAATATGGGAAAACATTCTACAAAGATTGTATTGGTTGTTATAGTGTTTTTGTTGATGTTAAGGACTGAAAAATGATCAGTCTTTTCATGTTATATGTGCATCGCGTGCGAGTAACCTCGTTATTGCTATTAGTTCGCAAATAATATAAGCGGAGTTGGATGGCGGCCATTAGTGGAATCCAGGACGCGTGTCTCTTCATCCCATTTGTGACTCGTCAGCTGGCTGCACCTGCATCACAGAGTTGGTGTGTCACTGTGGTACTCGGACTCAGTATTGTTTACTTCGAAAATCGTCGCGTCATCCCCTAAGCTACTCGGCATGGATAACCACTAACTTCTACACACAGCTCCAATACACCATAATTAGGTGAACACGGATTAATAAATGTTTGTCCTGTGGCAAACTGCATTCTCGGAACTCATATCTTCTTCATGATCCTGAATGCTTAAATTGTGACAAAATTGGATACATTATGTCGGTATATTAGACTTATGTTCATTTTGCTATTGACGATACCAGTCGGCGTTATTAAATTGCAATAAGATTGGAGCCTCTTAAGATCATATTTCGCTTTTATCCACGATTTTGAATGCGCTTTACATATGTGAGAGCAATTAAATATCTCTTTTTGTTCATTCCGTAATTCCATTGTTGACACAGGCAGTATACCGTCAATCATTTCATTCGAACTTTGTATTTAGAGGGGCACTAACCTGACTTGCTCTCACTAGCTTTCAAATAAGATTCTGATGCTTTGATTAAAACCTTCATAGCCTCCTGTGTTAAGTGCTATGATGGGATAAGAATTCAGTCTTTTACATTGAATCCCCGTTTGTTGAGGCAAACACGCACCACAGTTGAAGCCGAAGATATTCCGAGTCACGTTAATTGTTCTAAAGTGTTCGGCGAAGCCGACTTATAGGAGATCTGTCTTCAGATTCATTCGGATAAACCTCCATCAGATTTAACAACGATTACTATTATTTGTAACTCCGCCAATATACCAGCTGAAGCACCGAAGTCAGACCCCGAATTAACTACAAACATGCTTCACCTTCTATTCAAAAAGATTTGGGAGGAGGAACGAAGGTCGATGAACTGAAAAGTAAGACACCCTATCAAGATTCCAAAGAAAGGAGATGTGAGCAAATGTGAAAACTATGGAGGTATTACACTACTGTCAGTACCAGAGAAAGTCTTTAACGGAGTATTACTGGACCGAACGAAAGACGCAGTAGACGCACAACTTCGAGATCAACAAGCTGGATTCCGTAAGGATCGGTCTTGCACAGACCAAATTGAGATACTACGGGTCATCGTCGAACGATCAGTTGAGTGAAACTCGACACTGTACACCAACTTCATTGATTATGAAAAAGCATTTGATAGTGTGGATAAGAGGACTTTATGGAAACTTCTTCGACACTCCTGAGTTCCTGAGAAGATTATCAATATTATCCGGAACCCATTTGACAGACTGCAATGCAAATTGGTGCATGGAGGACAGCTGACAGATGCATTCCAAGTAAGGACCGGAGTCAGACAAGACTGTTCACTCTCTCCCTTCCTCATTCTTCTGGTGGTCGACTGGATTATGAAGACCTAGACATCTGAGTGAAAACATGGCATGGAATGAACAGCTCAGAATAAATTAGACGATTTGGACTTCGCAGACCACCTAGTCCTCCTATCGCATACACACGAACAAATGCAGATAAAGATATCCAGTGTAGCAGCAGTCTCATACACAAGGAAAAATCCAACATCGTCAAATGCAACACCGAGGACAACCACTCAATCATGCTTCGCGAAGAATCTCTCTAAGATGTGGAATCTTTCATGTACCTGAGAAGCATCATCGATGAACAAGGACGTTCAGATGCAGACGTAAAGGCGAGGATTGGCAGAGCAAGGACAGCATTCCTCCAATTGAACAACATATGGAGCTCAAAACAACTGTCCATCAGTTAATATCAAATTCACAATCTTCAATACGAACGTCAAGGCAGTTCTACTGTACGCAGCTGAAACTTCGAGAACTACTACAACTATCATCAAGAAGGTAGAAGTAATTATAAATAGTTGTCTACACAGGATACTCAACATCTATTGGCCGGATACCATCAGCAACAGCCTTCTGTGGTAGAGAACAAACCAGCCTCCAGCTGAAGAGGAAGTTAGGAAACGACGATGGAAATGGATAGGACATACATTACGTGAATCATCAAACTGCATCATGAGGCAAGCCCTAACTTGGAATCCTGATGGGAAACGGAAAAGCGGAATTCCAAAGAACACATTACGTTGTGAAATATAAGCACATATGAAAAGGATGAATAACAACTGGAAAGAAGTGGAAAGGATTGCTGAGGACAGGTTTAGATGGAATTTGCTGGTGAGCGGCCTATACTCTCCTCGAGGAGTAAGAGGCGTAGGTAACTTGCCGTTCATTGTGGCCAATCCAAATACTAATTCCCTCTTTTCGGTTTAAGTTGTTCTCCAGCCATGTTCCATGAAGTGATCCGTGATGTAGTCAGTGATGTAAAAGGCGTTGACATTTTTTCAATTGATTTCAATATTTTCGGTTCTCATAAAATATATCATGATCAGTGACTTACTACTTTCTTACGTCGTCTGCTTGAAAAAGCATTTGCCGTTTATTCAAATAATTGTTCATTTCATATATCTGGTATTGAGCGTCTTGGATATTAGGATGATGGCAATGGTTATAGACAAGATATGAAGCGACAAGTTTCACTTACAGTTTATCCATCCCCAAAATATCCCACACAATTACGCACACTACTAGGTGCTTTTCGTCGCTGTTCACTTTTTATATCCGATTTTCTTTATCGTAAAATCTCGCTACTTCGACACTTGAGATATGTACTATGGACTATGCATACATACTGTGAATGTACACAGAATAATCGATAACAGACTGTTACGCACACATATGCGTTAAAAATATTTGTGTACGGAATAGTGGACAGATAATATCAAGCATTAGTTTCCTCTGACTGTCAAATAATCTCCAAACATTGATATTCTATGATGAAATTATTGCTATCTTAACCGCTGAAATCCACTTCATGTGATGACTAGGGACTGGTTTCAAGATGGATTCCATGGAGTTCTAGTGAGAAGCCGTGATCAGTGGATTTCATCCGTGTGTGTTGTAATGCACTTACTCACTGAAGGCAATAGTGGACAGTCGCACAATACCGTGGATTAGTTGAAATTAGACATTAAAACCATTGGATGCCGGCCGACTCAATGGTCTACAGGTTAAGTGTTCGCACGTGAGACCGATGATGCTGGATTCGAATCTCACTGCTGGTGAGTTCCGTACTGTGACGAGACGACCGATTGACGCTTCCAGGTTCTCAATGGTTGTCTAACATTCATCGATTCCTGATCTCAATCAAAAATATGACAATCTCCATAGCTCCACACTTAAAACTTTTGAACTGATCAAATTATTTACCATCATACAATAGTTATTCACCACTTTGATTTCAGTCAATACTCTTAATATATCATTCTCTTGATTTTAAAGAAGGTGAAAACCAAATGATTCTATGAGTAAACGACCACTCAACTCACTCGAAATTAGATGGCAAATGGTCATAGTGTTCATTCATAGTTAGAGTGAGACTTTCTATGAATTGACAGCCAAATGAATTGTTTTCACTTCATTTTATATTTAGAAAAGTATCAATGTTTTGTAAAATGAGAAATTCACTGATTTTAGTTCCGTGAATGTATGTAGGTGAAGGTCAGTCACATAAGCACATCATTGGAATGCGATAAGTTCTATTCTAATTAAGATTCATATTACGCCCACCATACAGCATACAGTAAACAGAATACCATATTGTTTGATTGAAGAGATAAAATGAGGTGATAGACAACAACAAACTATAATCAATGATGTTTCTGTAGACACTTGAGTTCAACAGAAATATGCTCATTAACTAAATGCTCAAATAATTTACACTGAGAATAGAAAATAGTAAATTTTACTTTGAAGATTGTATAGGAAGTAACAGAAATGATAGACGTTGGTGTTTTGTGGGTATTCAATCAGGTAAATCGGACAAAATTCGCAGTTTATCAAATCTTATTCTTAAATGCAAGCTATTTAAAGGCCTTTGTATTATCAGGCGAATTCAAGAAAATCGATCAAACGCAATACATCATCCTGTTGGAAAGTGTGCAGCTGTTTTCATAATTGGTCTTGAGGGGCTGGTCATTAACTACCTACTCTCCTTTTACATAGAATACGATTAAAGTGATTTGATAAACAATCACTTTAAAAACAATAATAATAACGCATTCATAAATTTGGATGCTCATTATCTATGTAGTTTCAACAATTTATTCATTTATTCAATCCATCTATCAGAATCATCAAGTGGATGATAAGCTGTCATGTATGGACTATGGTTATGTTAATAGACTTTTCACTAGCCAATAGATGACCACTGATTAACGTTATTCCCATATTTCATAGTTCCGAACAATCTGTCACTCAACATCATTCTATTATGTTGAATTATCTAAAACGTCTCAATCTTTATAGGCAAAGATGGATAGCGGCTGGCAGTGGGATCCAGTTTGACACACGTTTTATCCTATTTGGAACTCGTCAGCTGGATGTACCTGCATCTCAGATTGAGTGTTCACTCTGGGACTTGCGTCAAACTCCATCGTATTATCCACTTAGTTAATAACATCTGATAGTCACTTGCTTGTACAATCAGGTGAAGTTTACACTCTCTTTTCTATTGTTTGTCTTAATCTTCTCAATAAGAAAATGATCACTTGCAGTCTTAAACATCGATGGGAAGACTCAAACGAACAATACAAAATGAACAAGAATAATAATAATAATAAGACAATTGATTGAATAATGTACATTCAACCTGGAATATTGAAATGAACAATTTGTAATCCACTTATTTCAAGAAAAGATCACTGTGAGTTGGAACGAATGAATATTTGAAGGAGGAGATCATTGTTCAATATCACAGAAGTAGAGAAGAAATAGTTTCATTGTTTGCCAATAAGACAATTGTACTAAAACTCATTAAACAGTGTCTATGTTGATTCTTATGTATATCAGAGCAATTCAAATTGTTACATGTGTTTAGTTAGGTAGTTAGTTATGAAACAAGTTTACTCATAAAACGGTTTATTCAGTCTTGAGAAATGACTGCAAATGGATAGACGATTTGGTAATGAGAAATGAATTCCAAGTGGATATTAACAAGAAATGGAAGTAATGAATTGTTCAAAGACAGAATTGTGTTCTGAAATAGTTGAATATCTTAATTAAGTTATCCACTTGAACGAAGTTTAGTCTTAGCTCACATCATGAACTGACTTTCAGTTAAACAACCATTGAAAAGTATGAAGTATTAGACAGATGTTTGGTGGTGATATGGAACTCTTAACGAATGAACAACTATGACTTCAGCAGGAGTCGATCTTAAGACCAGTGATTTGATACCTTGTGATTTATATTCGTAAATTCAGTGTAATGGCGGTATTACGCAGTTGTCGTTCATTGCCACAGATGACCATTGCCAAGGTCATGATGACGCACTCCTGACTTATTGCATACTTGGATGAAATAACAGTCCAATGTTGTTGAACTGAAATTAGCTTGTGATACAAACTAGTAAGTGAATAGTCATCACTAACTTTTCGAACTAAAGTTTTATTATTTATTGAAGAATAAATGGTACCCTATAACTCGTTGTAAAAGAGAAGACTTTCTGATTAAAAGTTCTCAATCTTAATATTCCATTATCTACTTTAAAAACAAGCCAGAATTGTGACTGAGTTTAAACTATTGTGCCCATTTACCAACAACTGGTGAGTTGCCCATATACAAACCGGATATAAAAGTCATATCAGGCAATCCGGTGACCAAACAGCAGTATATAATCACCAATTTAAACATTAAAAACACTAAATTCAGTGGAAAGATCTCTTTCCAACCAATTTATGATGCAATTAGGAGTTCTATCTTTGAACATTCAGTAGACACGACCGACTTCACGAATCCACTTGTTGATTTTAAGACTGTTTATAGAATTCGTTCAAATCTATCAAGATTTATTCATGTTTAGGTTTTTTACTATTCATGAACTGAAGTGTGTCTTATCTTCATCTTACCATGTCCTTAGCCAATTATTATTAATATTAATCGTAAAATATATTTACACTTCCTTCCTACTCGCAAGCGGGGCCGAGAATTCCAAAGAAGCCATTTAAACGAATACCTCTGATGTTCTAGAGAAGATTCTGTTCATGAAATTTCAATCTAAACGGGATATATCTCCAGAGATCCTTAAAAGCCAAATGTTGAGATTTCTGTAAACAGAATTTATTTGAAGAAACTCGAGATTGTGTTTTTCGTTGCATATCTGATTCTTTGATATTTCGGGTATAAACTGATACTTTGATACTTTGAATGCCAACAAAGTGCTCTAAATGTTTATCGTTCGTCGTCAATACTTGAAAGAATAGATAGGCACCATGTTGGACGTTAATCAGTTCAAATATCTTAGTTTCACAGAAGATCACTCGTGACCTAAATATCTCAATAATAAAATCTGAACATATGAAGCTGAATGTTATTGAGAGCATCAGTACCACTAAAGATTACGAGTAGGCTTTCATGACGAGTGCTAGCCAGCATGAAACTTGCGTCAAGAACGGTTTTCTATTTACCAAGTCCAACCAACTAACAACTCAACTACTTACACTAATGGTTATATCGATAAGATTCGATGATCAGTAAAGAATTAGACAAGCATAACATTGATCACTACTCAATCATCATTCAGTAGTATAATTCAAATTTGTTAAAATAAATAAACCTCTTCTACTGAAAGACTAATTAAGTTAAACATGAATTTGTGTTGGTCATTCACAGAACTCATCTGATCATTATGCACGATATCAATCATTAAGTCTACTTGATCATCATGCGCGTTTCATCTTGATTACAGTTTAAAATTACAAAACACTAATTTAGATAAATTATTGTGACCGATGATTCACCTGCAATAGCTGCTGCCATCATGCAGGTGTATCCCAATGCTCACCATATTTTGTGTCGTGTACACCTTGTTCGCAATGTGATAAAGAGGGTAAGTGTACCGTTCACTAACATTAACCCATAACCGTAAATGTAGAGGGTACGATCAGAAATTATACAACGTTTTTTTCGCCTGATGTTCAGTCGAACGGTCGAAAGGTAAATCAAAATGTGCATAACATTATTTTGTAGTTTTAACAATGTATTATCCTCAATCGAAATATCGGACGGAACGTTTGCGTGTCAAGTACTGAAGCGACACCTGCGCACTCCTATAACGGAGTTTGTAATGTCTGTTGACTTATTCACAGCTGTAGACGCAACGGGCACTTACAATGTACACCGCGATTCCATGCGCTGCTCCTGTTCATTTTCCATTGATAACGGTTTGCCATGTCGGCATATATTGGCTTGCTGTACACACAGTATTACTGATGTGAACGTACAGTCAATTTGTGATAGGTGGTTACACTCTGATACTTATCTGACTCATATTGCAGTTGAGAATTATTTCCCAATGCAAGTGAGCCAGCCGAGCATGAAGAATACAGTGATTGCGTTAGTCAGGCGACTGTCTGAGGAACAATGCAGTTCACTTTATAGCCATGTTTATCAAGAACTTCACGGTAGACTACCACCAACACCGTTGAACTTACAGGCAGAACCGCAGTTGTACGCTGAAATAAGAACCTCGACTAACGTTGCAACGCCGTTGATGCACTGAGGAAATGTTGATTTGGATGAAACGTTAAGTAACGACGAGGATGAAGTAGTTTCTATAACTCCGAATAGTTAACAGAATAGGACATCCAAAATGAAGAAGATGAAGAGAACCGTTTGTGTGACATCTGTAATCTTGCACAGCCGCCGTGTGAAACCATCATCATTGAATTGATTAATGTGATTAAAGGTCATATAGTAAATGAAAAAAGAAATAAGAATATTAGCCGTTTCATGAATACAAAAGTAACAAATTTATATTCTTATTTTATATTAAAAGTACCTGAAACCAGAACTATGCGTACGTATGAATTACGTCTGATCGTCAACTAAGCCTTCATTGTTATTCATAAATACTGATTATATCACCGTATTCATTTGCACACCCATATAACTATTAATTACTGGTACAATCACACTATACAGTTATAAGTTCATAATTTTAATATTTTATAAAGACCGAAAATAAGGCATGACATTTATGAATTTGATAATGTAATGTGTTAACAATGGTGAACGTCTACATCTGTTACGACATATATATTTACAAATTAAAAAGGTCATTCATGAAAGGTCGGGATGATTTGCAGCGAAAACACTTTACTGCATAATAAGTGCAACAGCATTCGAGCGAATTTGAAAATCCAAACAATTTTACGTCAATTAAATGCATAGTAGGAGACATTTATTGAGTCAGTCAGACGACGTATGATTGTTCATTGACACTTCATGTAACTGATATTTCAAATGCTTGTCAAAAATGGTTACATTCATAATGTCTAGACATAGTTCAGCTTTCATATTACGCCAGTGAACAATATTCACACATGATTGATTGAACACACACATTAGTTTTTATTACGACCAGAAAATTAATTTTATAATACAGAACTACAAAGAATGTACAAGTGAAAACAATAAACCGTGTTTCAATGGACTTTTTGAAATTAACCGCATTGAAATCTAACCTTTTTCTAATTCTCATTATGAATGACCATTTACAAAATAAACATTCACTAAATATGAAGTGCCTATTGCAGGAAAATTCTTACATATTTGATACACCGTCCAAAGTCAGTTCATTAAATGATGATCTACGGGTTGCTTCACCTGAATTATTCATATTGCAATCAGTCATTTATCATGATGAATTATCGATATGTTGATTTGTTTCTCCGATGAACAGACCATTTGTGTTACTAAAAAATAAAACAAAAACTTATGTACACACTTTGGTAATAAATTGTTTATTTCATGCAATTGGTTCCCTTTAAGAATTTAAATAGAGCAAGAACAAACATTGATGCAGCTGACGAGAAACCTCGAAATAATATGAATTCATACTATACTGCATCAATGTTTGTTCTTGGTCAATTTGTTTATTAATTGGGTATTCAACATTTGACTACCGACCGAATTCACTAATCACTATTATCAAATAGTCAAACCGATTTTCAGTTCCATTTTTCACTCAACTTTCTTTTAATGTGATACATCTAAGTAGTCGTGGCAACATAACTAACGAATTTAATTAATGGTTGACATCAAATCACTTGATCGGAAATCAAATATTTATCTCACTATACACATTCACTAACAGTAGGATTGAACTTAAGTTGGTTTTGGTGGAGTTTTGTTCTCTGAGCTGGATGGTTTGGTCGTGGAACTTTCATCGTTCTTCTGAACGACATCATCAGCACAAACTTGGTGTTTTTTTCTTAAAATCTCTTAATTTCTTACAAGACTAACATGACACAAAAAGATTGATTCATTATCATTCAATTTCAAATGTAAAAATGCAAATTCTGACATCCAATCACAGCTCTAGATCCGATTTCGATTTCAACTAATCAGATTACAAAGATGAACAGTTTACGACTAATTACAAAATGATTAAAGGTAACACAAAATGTTTGTTCATTATCACTTGAGCACACACTTGCAAAACGAGTACACCAATGACCGATCGCTAAATTTTTCGTTCACACCCTACAATTTTTTAGAAATGGGTGGTAGGGCATGTTAATTGCCGTGGCCTCAATGTCAACCGTGTATATATGATTGTGTGTGTTCACATGTGTCACGTTTGGAATCGTTTCGAATATTGATTGACTGATGAAATGATTTCATGGAAATTAGATTCATTTGTATGTTCTACACTTCAAAGATTTCTTACAATTAATGTGCTATTGTAAATCAGATTTGAGATTAAATAACGAATTCATTGTAAATCATCTTTAAATGATACACTTTGCATTAACATTCTATCTGAATTACTCAGGTTTCATTGAACTTGAGGTTATGATTTACATATTATAATCTTTGTTCTGAAAAAAAACACAACTTCTTCATTTGTAATGTTGTAGGGTTCGAAAAACTTGATCACGATAGGTGTTTCAATGTATCTTATCCTAACATTTATTCTCTATGTATTCATGGTTGTTCACTATTATGAATCAACCCCCCCCACCCTCTACTTCAATGCGCAATGTTAACCGACACAGAAACAGATTGTAAGAAATCTGATGGTAACCAAACCCAACCCAACCATGGCATCATTTCTTAAAGTCACTAACTATTAGACTTAAACATGTAAGTAGATGCCAAATATTTGATCAAGATCTCATACTTTGATTAAAATGATTCAGAATCGTATATCTACTCATCTTTTCTTTTAGATTCTTAAGTTTCAAAATCATTTCATAACTTTTGTCCTACAAATTAATTCTTGATTCTTGATTCATATTCTCTATGACTGATTGTTTTTTTATATCATCGCAGATATTAAAACTTTGGTTATTATTCACTCGGTGTTGTTTTACTTGAAATCTTCCAATTGTCATTTAGGACTGAAATTGATCAGTCTCTTATTGGCACATGTGCATCCTGTACGGATTGCCTCAATAAAGCCTTAAGTCACAACCTTTATAAGCAAAGATGGGCAGGGACTAGCAGTGGAATACAGGACGCACGTTTCGTCCTATTTGGGACTCGTCAGCTGGATGTATCTGCATTCTGGAGTTGACGTTCACTCCGACACTCGAACCCAGTACCGTTCTCTTCAAACGCCAAATGAAGTATAGAAACTTTCATTTATTTTAGATTTAGTACATGGATTAAAATAGGAAAGAGATAAGCATCTAGGTTACATGAATTCCCCAACAGTTTCATTGTTTACATTTGTTCAGGTAGATAAAATACATTGAAATTGAGCAGATTATCAAAAATCACTGACTAGAGTTTAGTTTTGCAAATGAAATCTAACACGTAAAATGATGTTCACATAGATATGATAACCAGAATTACTGTTTTCTAATTAGATCGAAACTGGTAATTCTCTGTGGATGATGTAAATTCTGCACCTACAGAAAACATCAGTTCCTTCAAGATTACAGATTTGTCAACTTGTACGAAATGCAAGTCAAATATAGTATGTTCCCGATTGTCACTAATTATTTAGCTTGAAAAGCGATAGAGAAGGATTCATTTTTAATAGTTGAAATCATGAGTCAATTGAAGCTAGATCACCATGGAAAACCTGGAAGCACTGGATAGCCGTTTCGTCCCAATGTGGGACCTCAGCAGTGAGGATCCACGATCTCGCTCCCAGAGAGATTCGAGCCCAGGATCTATCATTTTTAGTAAACGGAATACGCCCATTAAGACATTAAATAAGAGAGATTAGTTCAGCGAAGAGTTCACTTTTTGTCATGCAGTTACATTGCCAAAGCAATAGTCATACATCTGGAAAAACCAAAATCAAGCGTGCAAAATAGATTGGCACAACCTCTTTTTCTACCATGATCTTAATGTCTTATAATTTATTTCTTCTTTTTCTTTCTTCATACTCTTATTCCTTTACAGACATCTGCTTCACCTTCCACCTTCCCCTTAAATCTTCCACCCCCAACTGATTTATTTTTCTTTCTACTATCCTCCTGATTACATTTAATCTCAAGTTCAACAATTTGTCATATCCGGAATAGTTAAGCCATTAACAATCAAACGATTATTAAAGTTTCCTTGTTTTAAAAATTTTTCTGATACCTTTGTTTATTTAACCTCACTTGTCACCATGTCTAAGTGAAGTTTATCATCAGTATTATTATCATCATCCTGTGAAAGCAAGTATAGATATATGCGATTGTACCGCTTTGAAAATGAATTCACCGAAAAGGGGAGAACTCTTTTCGCTGAACTAATGTCTCTTATTTAAGATTCATTTTGAGTTGTGTTTTTTTAATATTAATCTTACTACTAACAATGTTTCAAGTACTATCATTTAGTTGACTGAAATTAGACAAGGAAGAATGCAATAAACGAATTGATTAATGATCCATATAGCTAGTCACTTAAAAATTCAATCCAGATCATGTTTAAAAATAGTTTTTTTCGTCAGAGAAAAAGTTAATTACTGCTCAGTAATAAATTTATGTGAAAACCTCTCCCTTCCTGACGACATTTCTAACTATGGCACTCAGTGACTTGGATTTTAGTTTAACAGGGAAAATCAAAATCTACAAGATCCTACATATTCTTAGATAACATATTAAAAACTGTTGTTAATTATATCGAAGCGTCGAAGTAACCCGGATTGAGATACGCGCAAAATCGAAGTTCCAAAACAACGATTTGTCTACAAAAGCCGTTCTTTATTAAATAATACACAAAATTTAGTTACAAACCTCAACTTGTGAGGTGTCTAGGCGGTTAAACGCGTCGTTCAAGAATGAAAATAGCAAAAGCTTCCTGTAAGAGTAACATAAAGAATGATTACAACATACGATAGTCCAAAGACAGCCGATAGCTGTGTCTAAATTTGGTAACAGTTTATGAACAACCGAAACTCGAACCAAGAGCAAACAATATGGAAACTGTTGAGTTTAAGCAAATGCACAAAACTGTGGATAACTGCTACAGTAATTAAAGTACAGTGATTATAATGATAAATACAATTATAAGTAAAATAAACATTAAAGATATATGTGAACATTCCAGAATGTTACAGTACAACTTGAGTTACAACATAAGTGTGAAAATTGTTGGGTATACAGCTGCCTACTGAATGTAAATAAGTAGTATAAAACAACATACAGAAGAGTAGAAAAGGAACATGTAGGAACAGTGTAAGACAAACATAACAACTATACAAACATACACAACGACTTGTAAAAAGAACTTTTTGTTGTTGTTGTTATTTCATTATTTTGAATTATCTTTTTTTATAGGATAACTTATCACCATCTACTACAAGACTATTTCAACAAAATCAACATCAGAATCATTATTATAACAAAAAAGGAACATTTTCATCAGTACCGATTGGTTGATTAACATCATTCATTTTACTGGTTTTCATTCTTTTATCCATATAGGGTTATAGAGCAACTTATCTATTTCTTTTTTTTATGTTTTGTATTAAGCTTCTTAAAATTAATGAACATCAGAAATATGAACGATTGAGTTCTAACTTAAATGGTTTGAAGAGAAATCTATGTCTGCACAATGAATGATTGAAGGTGATGAATGAAACCAGTGATCTAGTTGAGAAGTTCCATATGAAAACAATATATTCATCTATGCCTCGTTGACATTATTCTGATAAATGCATCACAATGAGAGGGAGATTTATGAGAAAAATACAAAACACCAATACTTACTTATTTACTTACTTACTTACTTACTTACTCGCACACTTACTTACTTAATTACTTACTTACTCGCACACTTACTTACTTACTTACTTACTTAGACACTTACTTACTTAATTAACTAAATAATTTATTTACTTTCTTACTTGTTTACGCCTGTTACCCTCACTGGCACATAGACCACCAACCAGCGTTCTCCAACCCACTCTATGTTGGGCCTTCCTTTCTAGTTCATTCTTTTCATGTGTGCTTCTTTTTCTCCGAGTAATGTGTCCTTTGGTCTTCCTCTTCTTCGTTGGCCTTGAGAATTCCAAGTGAACTTGTATACACATATGTGCAATTAATTTTTCTTTTTTCTGGATTTCAGTAGTTTTGGTGCTCACAAAATCAAACTGAACAAATTTTGTTATACGTTTTTGCTATAAAGTTATATCTAGATAGATAGTAAAAGTTTTCTGAAATGTACTATTATTATGTCTTTAATTTAGCTTAACGAATATTCTTAAATTGTAAGAAACGAGTTAGTTATCAATCACAAGTGATAGAAT